CAGCCTCCTTTCAGGCAGTTGCAGAGAGCGATGAGGGCTCCCCTCAGCCTCCTCTTCTCCAGGCTGAGCCCCCCCAGCTCCCCCAGCCACTCCTCCCCAGCCTTGGGCTCCAGCCCCTGCCCCAGCCTCGCTGCCCTGCTCTGGCCACGCTCCAGCCCTTCCATGGCCGCCTTGGGGTGAGGGGCCCAGCGCTGAGCACAGCATTCGAGGGGCGGCCTCACCAGTGCCCAGCGCAGGGGCACCATCACCTCCCTGCTCCTGCTGGCCACACTATTCCTGATACAGGCCAGGATGCCATTGTCCCTCTTGGCCACCTGGGCACACTGCTGGCTCATGTTCAGCGGCTGTCGACCACCACCTCCAGGCCCTTTTCTGCCAGGCAGCTCCCAGCCGCTCCTCCCCCAGCCTGCAGCGGTGCCTGGGGTTGTTGTGACCCAAGTGCAGGACCCGGCACTCAGCGTGGTTGAATCAAGTTCAACAGTCACGTTTGGCGCCGAAGGGGCTGCGGGGCAGAAGGGCTGAACTTCGGGTGGGGTGGCTGGGGATAGGTGCTGAGGAACAAACTCCAGTGGAGCCAAGCATCCCTGTCCCACTGGCTTGCTCCTTTCTGGGGCACCCGGCCGTCCCCTGTGGGCTTTGTCCCTCTGGAAGGAGTGGGCAACCCCAGGAGGAGAGGGAGGTGAGTCTGGGGAAGCTCTGCCCCAGGGACAGCGGAGCTAGGGGAGGGTCCACGCGCACTGATCCCCGCTGCTGGAGGCCCCCCAGCCCACTCTGCCCCTGCCTGCAGGAGATCGAGTTCATGTACAAGCCTGGGAACGTCAGCGCGCCCCCCCCCGTGGTCGCCCCGCACCAGCCCCGCCTCGACTGGCAGATGTGGTTCGCGGCCCTGGCCCACCACAGCAGCAGCCCCTGGTTCACCAGCTTCGTCTACCGCCCGCTACAAGGCAAGTTTTTTGAGGGGGGCGGGGGGGGGTGGGTGAGGGCCTGCCAGGGGCTCCCCAGGCCTGGCACCGCAGCAGAGGCAGCCCAAGGGCCTGCACCCGGCAGCTGTGCTGCAGCAGGGACCCCCATCCTGCACGGTGGCAGGGACGGAGCAGGGGTTGTCGCTGGCCCCCTGCGGTGGCTCTGTGCCCCAGGCCCTGCCCTGGGGATTCGGGGCCGCTGGGCTCCTGCCCTGCAGCGGTTTGGGGTGTCCCCGCAGCGAGGGGGGCTAACGCTGTGTCTCTGGCAGTGATCCGCCTGGTGCAGGTCGACGAGTCGCGGTACCCCTTCAGCACCCAGCCCCCCGTCTACATCCGCGCCCAGCTCTACAAGTACTGGTTCACCAGCAGCGCCGAGGGCAGGTGAGCAGGGCCGCGCCGGGGCTCTGAGCCACGCTCTGCTCCTCAGAGCTGATGCGATGCCGCATCGACATGCAGACGGTGCCGTCGCGTGTGCTGGCTGTGCTGGGGGGCAGCTCGGGAGCGGGGAGGCCTGAATTTAGGAGCTGTTTCTCCCCTGGCTAATTGCCTCATTACCTCGGCCGGCACCTGCAGCTCGTCAGTGCCCTGAGCTCGGCTTTGGCAAGGCTGGGTGGCTGCCTGGGCCGCACAGGGCTGCGTGGGGGAGGCGGGAGCCTGCTCTGCTTCTGCCGGCGCTGCGGGGCCGAGGGCCGGGTGCTGAGGTCTCCCATGTCCCGCAGCGAGGGCCCCGCGCCATGGTGGCGGCGGCAGCATGTGCAGGAGTTCTTCCCCACCGTCTCCCTGGGCGACCCGACGCTGGAGAGCCTGCTCAGCCAGCACGGGCTGAAGGTAAGGCCTCGCGCCGCAGCCGTGCCGCGCTCCCCGCCGCCGGCAGGGCCTGGGGCAGCCCCGACGCCCCCCCT